TCATTATAAGAAAATTGTTTAATACCTGATCATAATTCACTAATGCATTATACAGATTGATCATAAAAATGCTTATACCATCATTCAATTCTCTAAGAACAGGATAAGTAAGCATTAGCACATCTATAAGATTGATTAGCCTTTGTATTTATATAAAGTTTATTCAGTTTCTAATAATATTTTGATCCAGTCTTAATCAAAATTATTAAGATATTTATAATATGATGAAAAATATCATTAGTGATATTATTTTAATTCATTTCATTTAGTGGCATCTTAATAAATTCATCATTTAATTCAATTATGACTGAAAATTAAACATGGTCATTCTCTTCTTCATCTTTTTCTTGGAAGCATATAGCAATAAGTTCTTCAAGATCATCTAAGTCATAAATAAGTTCTTTATTTTCTCCATTACTTTTTATTAATTGATTTGAGTTATCATTGCTTGCTGGTGATTCATAATTTGTCATACTTTCAATAATAGAATTTTTATTTGATGAAACTTATTTTTTTTGTGCAGAACAATAATTACACATTGCTCATGAACCAGTTTTTGTGTCACAAGTTTGCATAAAATCAGTGATCACCTCATTATTCTACAATACATACATATTTTTATTTCAGATAAATCTATAAATTATTTAGGATTTATCATCAAAAATTAAATAATTTATTTCATACATGAATATTACTTTATTATATTAACATAATATTAAAATCAACCATTCAGTTTAGTATTTGATAAACTAACATGAGGAAATTCACCAGACATTGTATAAGTTAGTATATCAAACAAGTTAAAAAATTCAACTGATATTTATTGTTGATAATGTGAAAGTAATTGCATTTTTTATGATGATAAAGTAACTTATATCTGTTTATATAATAAGTCTGTGAATATAATCACACTTTAATTTTTGGAAATTTACAATATTAATATATGCATATTTAGAATCTTTAACTGAATTATTGAAGTTCTTATATAGAGATATTTTGATCTAACATTATATCTAATTTGCTAAATATAGGTGAATAATATAAAATAACAAATAAAGTATTTAATAAATTACCAGTTTGATACGTTAATAATTTATTTATTATAATCTTTATTAATTATAATATAGCTGATTTTCTTTGAGTATTATCCATAATGAATAGTAGTTTGTTTTAAGAAATTACACGAATGATAATATTATTATCAAATTATAACACTTGATTATAATTCTTAATTAAATATATAAATGTTAATAGTGTTCTGATTATTAATTCTTCTTATGCTTATTTTTATTCACCATTAATAGAAAAAAATGCACCATTTGATAGCAGTTATTAACTGAATAATAGTATATACATACAGTTGTTTCGGCTTTCACATTAAATCAAAGTCCAAATTCATAT